CTGGGTATAGTGCAGTGGCTTCAGCCTAGTTCACGCAACCTCAAACTCTTTTTTTTTTTTGGCCGGGGCTGGGTTTGGACCTGCCACCTTTGGCATATGGGGCCAGCGCCCTACTCCTTTGAGCCACAGGTGCTACCCACCAACCTCAAACTCTTGGGCTTGAGTGACCTCTTGCCTCAGTCTCCCAAGTAGGTGGAACTACAGGCTCCTGCTACAACACCTGGCTGGGTTTTTTGTTGTTGTTTTTTTTGTTTTTTCCTATATTTAGTACAGATGGGGTTTCGCTCTTGCTCAGGCTGGCCTCAAACTCCTGAGCTGAAGCAATCCACCTGCCTTGGTCTTCCAGAGTGTTAGGATTACAGGTGTGAGCTATTGTGCTTGGCCTGGAGATAACTTCTACATGTTCTCTCCACCCTCTCTACCAGCCTCACTGCATCTACTCTTGTGCTTTGTTTTTCCTTCTATTGCCTATGGAGAAACTGTCCAGCCTCTTAAGACCAGCCTTTCTGTTTATCTACCCCATCACATTCCCTCTTCCCTAACAATGGACATTATTCTAGCAATTATCTCTCTCTCTTTTTTCTTTTTTCTTTTCTTTCTTTCTTTTTTTTTTTTTTTTTTTACCAGCGTCAGTACTTCCCTGTCTGCTGAAATCATTTCATCAACACAAAAACCTCAAATAATACCTCCTGTCCGAATGACAAAACCAAGGCAGACTTTCCCTGGATCTTATAGCTCCCCCAACAGAATGCCATTTCTCTGTTCTTCTTGAGTGGCTTTTTTCTTTTTCTCACTTTCTGTTTTCTTTGAACTTGTTCTAATCAGGCTTTCTCCCTCACCCTTCTTCCTCTGGTATCTCTTGTGATCTGAAATATTACTATTTTCAGTGGTCAGTTTTCAGTCCTTATTTTAGCCAGCTTTTTAGCAATATTTAACATAGATAAACAATTTCTTTCTCCCATACTTAGTCTATAAAATATACAGTTTTAAAAATAATTATTTTAAAAATCTGTGTAATCACACTATGGTTAAGAAACAGAACTTTGTCAGCCTTACAGAAGCCATTTATTTATCTCTCCCCATGAGCTCAAGCTGCCATCATCTGTTAACCTGGCTTCTTGCAGTCATCTTCTATGTGGGTTATTATGAAAGTTTTGAGATACATAAATATCAAGAAAGTTTAAATCAGACGGAAACAAATGAAGCCCTTCCAGCAACACTGACAAGCCAAGCAAGTTGAAACTGTGTTTCTTGGAAGTGAAATAATGGACCATAACACAATCTGTCTCAGAACTGTCGTAGTGACCCATGTATTTGGTCTTTCTGCTTCCATCCTTGCCTCTGATGTCTGTTCTCAATAAAGAAGCAGTTCTTCCCCCACTTTCTCTTAATTTTCATATTAAAATGCTGATAAATTCATAGGTAGTTTCAATGGTGGTTTGGAGAGGTCCTGTGTACTCTTGCACCCAGTTGCTCCTGATGGTTGCCTTTTATGCATTATAACATAGTACAGTATCAAAGCCAGGAAATTGACAGTGATATAATGTGTGTATAAGTGTTATATCATTTTGTCAGGTAGATTTCTGCAACCACTACTGCAGTCAACGTACAGAACTCTTTAGTCACTGGAAAGATCAGCCTTGTAGCTACTCTTTGATGGTCATACCCACTTCTCTCCCCCCTCAACCTTTCTGTAGTGCTGAAACCACTAAGTTTTCTCCATTTCTGTACTTTAATCATTTTAAGGATTTTATGTAAATGGAATTATACAACATGTGACCTTTTTTTCCCTCAGCATAAATTCTCTTGGGGATCTATCCAGGTTAACATTTGTCAATTGTTTGTTCCTTTTTATTATTAGGTAGTATATTCCATTGTGTTGATTAACCAGAGTTCGTATAATTTTTCACCTACTGTAGGATATTTTGTTTGTTTACAGTTTTTAACCATTATAAATGAAGCTACTGTAAATAATCATATATAGGTTTTTGTGAGCAATTCATAAACATAGGCTTTTGTTTGTTAGATTGGCCAGTATATTTCCTTTGTTATAATATTTTAAGTTTTGTCTTTAAGGTTATGCTGGCTTCATCAAATGAATTAAGATAGGTTCCTTCTTTTTCTGTTCTTTGGAAGAGTTTGTATAAAATTGATGTTGTTTTTTCCTTAATTGTTGGGAAGAATTCATCAGTGAAGTTATTGGGCATATAGTCTTTCTTTTTCATATGACAGTTTTGATAAATTGTGTTTTTCTAGGAATTTGTCCATTTCACCTAAATTTAAAAGTATTTTGGAATAAAGTAATTCATAAGATCCTTTTTTTATGTCTGTAGTAATGTCCTCTCTTATTCATTTTGTAACATCTTTTGTTTGCTAATTGCTCTCACCTACAGGTTTATATCATTTATGTTAGTTGTTTT